GGGGACTTTAAAAAACATTTTGTGTTATTTTAAATTTTTTTAATTTGAAACTATTTATTTTAGCTTTTTTTTATGGTTTAATCTTTAACTTTATTGCTATCACATAGGGGACTAAGAAATCCCCTATGTGATAGCCAATTCAAATAACAGTTCCTCTTTATGGAGACATCAGGGGTCTCCAAGACCCCTATGTCACCTAGGAACCCCCAGAGAAGCTGATGAAGCACACCCGCAGCCAGTACAAGCGATCGGGCGTCTCTAGAGACGCCCGATCACTTGCATGCAAACAGCCATCGCTGGCTGTTTACATGCTGACAGTTTCCCCGCTCGTGTGCGTGTTGAGCGCCGCGCATGAGAGGGGGGAGGGGCAGGACGTCTTAAGACGCCCTCCCGCTCCTGTAAGTCTCCCGTCCGACCGTTCACGAACGGCCATGGACGGGAGGTGGTTAAACTGGACCTGGGTTTGACCAGTCACAAAACATCAGTCCAAACAGCTCAGGCAGGGCTGTGCTGAGGTAGGGTAGGGGGAGGGTAGGGAAAGAGATGGAGTCACGAGTCACAGCTGACTCTTGCACTTGTCTGTGTACATTTTAGCTTGAGCTATTGAGCTCTGTAAACAATAGGACTCTTTCAAATGAAGAGATAAGGATGCATGGAAAAATGTGAAAAAAGACTACAATGCCACCTGATGGCTGCATGTGATAATTATATAGATATTCGTGCGCTGTTCTGTTTCAAGAGCTGCTTTATGCTTTGACATACCTCCTTTGGACCTCCATCATTCCGAGCAGTATTGTCACCAGCTGAATTGGATCCACCCACACACAGCCTAACTCTCCAACATGACACATAAACTTAAATCTGATGTAGTTATCGTTCTCAAAGTGCATACAGAGGATGTTAGCTGGTCACATGAAGTGTAAAAAGACCACAGATCTTCCAAACCTAGTGTCTGCAATGAAGACTAGCAATACAAATGGGGGGACATGGACTAAGCAGGGTCTATCTAAGGCTATACCAAGTGACACTAAACAAGAGGGGAGAACAGTGGAAGATACCAATTGTGGTATTATTATTATTATTATTATTATACAGGATTTATATAGCGCCAATAGTTTGCACAGCGCTTTATTTTGTGCGGCAATCCCACAGTAGAACTGGGTGTTGTAGTCACCCAGGACTCTCAGGCAGAGGGGCTGAGCGGTTCCAGGAGGCAAGTTCCTGTACTGGGAAGGAGCTGACTTTGTGGCTCTTCCCAGGATTTCTGGATTTGGCATGGGATCCTGGAACTGGGAGATTTCAAAGAGAATTGGGAGGGATGAAATCTCCATTCCTGGGTCCATTGTTTGGTAGTGGCCAGCACCTAATTGCACACCTGTGCACAGCACTTATGGAAAAGGCGCTGGCTAGTGTTCTGGGCTCCAGCTGGGAAGTGGAACAGAGGCGTTCAGGAGCACTCCACCCCGACGTCAGAGGGGAGCCAGGTGGCTGTGTGTGCTAGGGGCACAGGGAAGACAGCCGAGGAGGCTTAGAGAGCCAGTTACACATGGGGTATGTGCAACAATCTTTGGTCGGTGAGACATTGTCTACTTCCCGAAACATAAGCAGACTGTATGTTGTGTTGGTGAAAGAAATAAAAGCCTGTCCTGTTTATGTTTAAGTCGGCTTCAAGACTGGTCCTTAAGCCTTTACCATATGTGCTCAATTCCACAAATATCACACAATGTATTCCGAAAAATAAGTTGTAGTAACGCCAATCTACCACTAGATGTCAGGCATACACCACAACATAATGATATACAATGGAATACATAGCAGTGTAATGGCAATAGCAGACAATAACATTGGCTGTGGCAGCACACGTGCAATGTTTCACACTTACCCACCAACAAAAAGAATAAATGTGTTATTTTATAGTGCTTATCGTAATAAATAAATGTAATAAATATTATAAAGAAATGTAATGTGTACAAAACCACTTTGCATTCCTTTTAAGCAATGATCTGTCACGTACACAAGTTTAGAATAACCAGGTATAGATTTTTTCTTCCCCCCCCCC